AAAAAAAAAAAAAAAAAAAAAACCTCACAACCCAACTTAAAAATAGAATATTAGGTTAAATTGAGCTAGCGGTTGGTCTAAAAAATTTCCTCAACCCAACTCGTGGATAACCTTACCATTAAGGTTCAAAGAGTGACTCGAAATCTCGATTTTTTAAAAAATATTGTTGAAAAAATATAACATGATGCAATTTGTTTTAAGTTATAAATATATATATATATATATATATATTTCTTATATTGATGTTGATTAATAATATTCATGGAAATGTCAATTTAATACATTAAGTGAATATAAAATTGTTATAATTTTATAACTAATTATAATCCACAAAAATAATTAACTATATTACAAACATAAATATTTAAAATTTTTAATCTAACATTAATAATATAATTTAGAAAACATAAATTTATTGATCGGAGATAAAATAAGCTATTATAGCTACATTGATTATAATATATTAATATAAATATTTTGTTAAAATCAATTTATATTCCTAAATTTTAGAAATTCTATTATGCAAACCTCAATTCAAATTTGTACGGAGGAATTGAAATCTTGGCCCATTTTCCTCATTTATTATTATTATTATAAAAAAAGAAAACAAATTTATTATCTTTTATTTTTTTTCCAAAAAAGAAAAAATTATATAAAAATGGAACATTAATTTAAGGATCGTGGATTTGACTTTTGACGGAGACTACAAAGTTGATCGTCGTTGAAAAGACAACTTTAGCCTTCTTCCTTTTTGTCTTTATCCAATACGACGTCGTTGAATTTTATATGCCACGTGGCGTCCGGCGACATTTTGTCGCCGTTGACTTTGATTTTTGGATGGGATTTCGAATCCTCTCTTGTCTCTACTTCTCCTTTGGGCCATGCCAATGCCTACATGCTATATTTATTTTCTTTAATTTGGTTAAAACGATGAGTTATGGGCTGATGGGCCTGGGCCCAAATCCATCAGACCCATCAAAATCGACCCATTTGGAAGGGAACACGACAAGCCTCGAGGTCGGTGAGGCCGACCCGAGGTTCAAGTCGACTACTCGTAGGAATCTAACGAGTTAGAAGCAAGACTTCGACACATTCCCCACTAACACCATTGATCCTCTATATCTCCAGACAAGACTAGCAATGAAATCACCTCATATTCGTATTAACTTAAGCAGCTTAGAGCGTTAGACAAAACATCACATTAGACACAAGTCTTATATTTTGCCGAAAAATTTTGTCTGCTCTACCCTATTCTACCAAGCCAATTAGATTCACTCAATAAAATATATTAAATTACGAAGATTTGATATTATAATAATAATAATTTCGAGTGTTTAACTAAAACTTACCAAAATGGCTGTCTAAAAAAAATTATAAAAATTTAGAATTTAGAAGTCAAAATTTAGAATTTCCGCTATCACATATTTAAAAATAAATAATAATAAATTGAATTAATGAGACACATAAAAGTTAAAATAAAAAATCTCACCTAGTCTATGACTTTTTAAAGCTTTGTATTTAATAATTAGGTTTTTGAATTTATTTTTATTTATTAACTTTAATAATTACGAAAACTAATTTATAATAAAAAAAAAATTATATTCGGGCTTTTAATTTACAACATCATTTTTTTTAAAAATTGTTTTCAATTATCGCTCATATTTTTTAAAATATATTTTTTTTTCAAACATGACTCGAGCCTCAAGCATAAGTCATTGTCGGTAAAGTTTGAATTTCTCACTAATTAGAAAAAATGGTCTCAAGCTAATGAATGAACCAATTCATGGATTATAAATCTCATTTAAGCTAATAAATGAGGATTAAGGCTTCCCTTGATTCACAACATGAATGGACGAAAGGGAATAATCTTCGTCGCCTTCGATGATAACAAAAAAGCTCCATGAAAACTCATATCTGCCTTTTAGCGTCTCGATGATGTCCAGGTGATAGCTGCAGCAGGGATGGTTCCATTTCTATATATGATGTGAGTAAGTAGAAGAAACCGCTCATTATCAGGTCAGCTGTGGTTTTCAGGTCTGTTCTTCTTTCCCCTTTCACCATTTTTGTCGCAGTTTTCTATCCGTTTGAAGCTTCATTGTTTGAATTTCAGTCGATCCATTAAATTTGAGGTTCTTACTTGTTCTATTCCGACTCTCTCTGTATTTGATCACTGATTTGGTTGAGCGGTTTTTATGAGGGTTTTCCGATTTCAGAAGTTCGATTCCTTAGTATCATTTAGAAATTGGGCAAGAATTCATGGGGAATACCTCGTCGATGCTCACTCAATATGATATTGAAGAAGTTCAAGAGCACTGCAATAAGCTTTGTAGGTTAATCTATACTTGTCTTGATTGGTTTATTTGTTTGTGGTTTGGTTGGCTTACTTTTTGCTGTGTTTAAGTTAGTCTCCCAACAGGAAATAGTGTCATTGTTTCAGAAATTCTGCCAGCTTGATAGAAATTCCAAGGGGTTTATTTCAGCTGATGAGTTCCTTTCAGTTCCTGAATTTGCTATGAATCCACTTCCTCAGGTATTGTTTTGAAATTGAATATAAACATTGTGTGTTTGTGTGTTGATTGTATGAGTTGCGACTTATGGCAAGCGATTTCTTTGTTTTACTCTGTTGTTATCTTCAGCGTCTGCTCAAGATGGTTGATGGTTTGAATTTTAAGGATTTTGTGGCTTTCTTGTCAGCATTCAGTGCTAAAGCTAGTTTGCACCATAAGATTGAATGTAAGTGCATGTTTTGCTACTGATTGTTCATCTTTTGCTGGTTTTGATCAGGCTTGCGGGTTTTGGTTGAAAATCAATGCTTATTTAAAACATTAGGGATCCTTAGCAATCATTCTTATGGTAGTAGTAAGTGGCACATCGTTTTTTGTGAAATCCCACGTTGGTTGGAGAGGGAAAAAAAATATTTCTTAGGGTGTGAAAACCTCTCCCTAGTACACGCGTTTGACGGCTATACGTAATGAGCTAAAGTGAACAATATCTACTAGTGATGGACTTGTGCGGTTGCAAATGGTATCAGAGGCAGACATTGAACGTGTGTTAACAAGGACACTAGGCCCACAGAGGGTGGATTGTTAGATCCCACGTTCTTGCAGAAGGAACGAAGCATTCCTTATAAGGGTATTGAAACCCCTCTCTAGCAGACGTGTTTTAAAATTGTGAGACGACAGCGATACATAACGGGCTAAAACCGACAATATCCGCTAGTGGTGGGCTTGGACTTGACTGTTACATTTTTACTCAAAAGTCATCTAACTTTTTGGTTGTCTTCCTCAATTATTGGAGCAAATTTGTCACAAGAAGCCGACTTATAAGTTAGAATTCATGATATCTAGAACGGTATGGCATGAATCATCACTAAACCAAAAGATATCATGAATTATAAGTTCAGGACTAAATGGAAAAACTTTTTGTCCTGAACTGACATTAATACATGATATTGACTCTAAGAAAACTACTTTGAGATGGTTCATTTCGTATTAATAATTGCTAGTGTCTCCTTATTTCAGTTATTTTCAAGCTATATGATGTTGACTGCAACGGGAAGGTGTCTTTCAACGACATCATTGAAGTGCTTGGGGATTCGTCTAATTCATTCATCTCCGACGAGCAGAGAGAGGCATGGCGTCTTCTTTCCTTTCGTTCGATATTTCGCATCTGTGTTGCTTGTTCGATATTTCGCATCTGTGTTGCTTCTCCAATTCATCGTTATCTGAAAACGCAATGTGATTCATTTAGTATCAAATACATAGCATATAAATCCTCGGAAAGAGACACCAATCCATGCATACAGTTACTTGATGCATCTCCTTGATGATGATATGTCTGCTCGTGCATAGGCATTGAGAGTATTTACGTAGCTCGAAAGGAACATATTTAGTCCAGTCCTAACACATGAAGTGGAATAACTACATTTTCTTTGTGCTCATATTATTTCTTTCACCTTCATAAACGAACTATTATTAGTTTCTCTTTCCCATTGCAGCAAGTATTGTGCCAATTGTTACAAGAAGCAGGCTATACAAGAAACTCTCTCTTGACACTCGATGACTGCATCAAGGTACTGTTAACGTGCTGACATGTTTCATTGATTTACCATACTTTACTAGAGAGTATAAGAAACCAACACAACTCATCACCTTGGTCGTAAGGTCCTACATCGATTAGAGAGTGGAACGAAACATTCCTTATAAGAGTGTGGAAACCTAACTCTAGTAGACGGGAAAACCCAGAAGGGAAAACCCAAAAACCTTGAAGGGAAGTCCAGAAATGGAAAACCCAAGGAGGACAGTATCTGGATGAGTACTGGTTTTGCTGCATCACTTTGAAAGACGTGTCTTAAAAACCTTGAGGGGAAGTTTGAATAAGACAATATCTGTTAGCGGGATTGAATAGTTACATCGTTCTTGATTTATAGAGATGAATGTTTTCATTTTATGCCATTCTTTCGCAGGTTCTTGATAAATCAGGCATAAGAATGGATGTAGAAGTTCCAGTTGACTAGCTGTTGATCTGTTAGGCTATTTACTTTCAGAAAAGAAGTCAAAACTCAAGGACTCTCAACTGACCTGAATGCACATATCTGCTTCAGTTCATCTCTGTTGCAGAAAGTTCTGATGGAAGACAAGATTTTATACTCTCTTTTTTCAGCAGGCCCTTCTCTTTTGTCATCATTTGTAAAGACTGTCAATCAGTGATATCCATAGTAAGGTTAATCGACACCGATTCTCGATCATGTGTCATTGTCCCTGATATCAAATCAATGTCGACTAGCAAATGTCAAGCAGACAAACAATTACCACTCTAATTCATCAGTTTATAGAGTTACAAGCTGCAGGGAAGGGGAAATCAAACAAAAATACCTTCCTCTGTTCTCAGCTTTCTCAAATTTCTCCTCTATAGCCGCCTGATCCAAAATAGTCTCTTCTTGAACTTGCAATCGCCATGCTTTTCTGATGCTCTAACTTGGGGCAGTCACGGATACGGTGACCAAGCCCGCCACAATAAGCGCAACCTTTGACCCCGCTTGCATTGGTGATCGCTTCCACGTCCTCCATAGGGTCATTCAGCTCAGCCAACACTGGTGGAATCCTCTGTTTTGCTTCTTGCAGAAGGTGCTTTAAATCAAGGAGGGTTGTTTCGCTTTGATTCTTGTTTATGAAAGTTGTTGCAATTCCCGTCTTACCACACCGTCCAGTTCGTCCAATCCTATGAACGTAGTTCTCAATTTCAGCTGGCATATCGTAGTTGATAACATGTTGAATGTCTGGAAAATCTAAACCCTTTGATGCAACATCAGTAGCAACCAATACATCTTTCTTGCTCGCCTTAAATGAAGAGATAGCATACTCTCTTTCTTCCTGATCTTTTCCTCCATGTATTGCCACTGCTTCAACACCTTTCAAGAGTAGATACTCGTGAATGTCGTCAACATCGGCTTTATTCTCACAAAATATCAACACCGGAGGTGGAGTTTTCTGCAGACACTCGAGCAAGTAAACAATTTTTGCCTCTTGTTTCACGTACTCGACCTCCTGGATGACGTCGAGGTTTGCAGCTCCAGCTCTTCCGACGTTAACAGTGACAGGCTTTACTAGTGCACTTCTTGCAAAGTTTTGAATTTTGGTAGGCATTGTAGCAGAAAACAATAGAGTTTGGCGTTGAGCCTTGAAATGATCAAAAACTTCCCGAATATCGTCTTCGAATCCTAGATCCACTAATCTATCAGCCTCATCTAAAGTAAGATACCTGCAATTGTCAAGGTTCATTTTCTTTTTCGCCAACATATCCTTCAACCTGCCGGGGGTTGCAACAACGATATGAACACCCTTCTTCACAACCTCGATCTGTGATCGCATATCCACCCCGCCTATACAGAGCAAAGGCCTAAGTTCTGGATATCCAGCCTCCTTCATGGGTATTAAGAACTGTTCCACCACTTCATAGGTCTGTCTAGCAAGCTCCCTTGAAGGACAAATGATCAAACCAAAAGGTCCTTCCCCTGAAACAATGGGCATCATGACCTCTTCTTGTAACGCAATCATTATCAAAGGAAGAACGAAAACTAGGGTCTTTCCCGAACCAGTAAACGCAATCCCAATCATATCTCTGCCAGATAAAATCACAGGCAGACCTTGGACCTGAATCGGAGTCGGCTGCACGATTCCCTTTTCTTTCAACTTCTTCAAAACTGGTTCAGGGAGTCTCATGTCCTTGAAGTTCTTAATAGGCGGTGGAATATCGTCACCATCGACTATTATGTGCCATTGTTTGCGAATCAAATCACATGCCTTTCTTGACATCCTCCTGATAGGCAATGGTGGTTTCCATCCAGTTAACAATGGCTCTGTGTAAGTAATTCCTTTGGCTAGTTCACGAACCGACATTAGAGTTTTACGATCAGATAAGTGCTCGATCATCTCCTTCTCTTGCTGAACGATCTGCTCGGTCGGACTAACTTCTGGTTGGTCACGCTTCATCTGAGATGCTTTTACGAGGAGACTCGGCTTGGCTTCGGCAAGCCTTGATTTCTCCAACTCTTCTTCAAGGGCAGAAGCCTTGCCTTTGCGCATAAGAATCTTTTGAGCTTCCATGGCTCTACGCTTTGCCACAGGAACATATTCAACAAAATCATCTTCTTCTTCTTCCAAGCTCTTTTCGTCCTTCATTTGTAAATCCATCGTATAATGAAATTCAATCCCAAAACACCTCTCCGCTAACCCTAGAAACCATTAGATTTCATATTACACGCAGATATCAATTACAAATAGCCAAACAACAAACCCTAAATGCAGAAACCAATTACAGACAATAACGAGCCTCTCTAATTAGAATCGTCAATGATAGATTCCGATTAGGGTCTCCGACATACAATCCCGTTCAATTCGAGCCACACAGAGACGGATTTAGAGACAAATACATGAAATTAGCTTCATCGACAAATGAATCGATACTAAGAACTCGAACAGAGTATCAAAAGAAAAAAGAAGCTAAAACTTACTCGAAGCGTTTACACGAGGAGCAGATCACTCCTCTTGGTCTTCGTTGTCGGGATTCGAACAGGAACAAAACGGAGAAATTGGTATAGATAACCGACAGAAGAGAATGTTATTGAGACGCAAAGGGAATTGGACGGCGGTAGGGTCACTGTCGAGAAAACCGGCGGCCGCTCTAGTCGGCAGAAACAAAAAAGACGCAAAAGGGTCTGAAGCCCGTGTAACACCGTCGCTCAGCCGGCGGCGGAACCACTAGTATAGATTTATATTATTTTTGTAAAGAAAATAAATTAGTACAATTTTCTGGTTAGGAGTGTTATGCTTCTAAAAAAATAAAAAATAAAATAAAAAATAAAATAAAAAAATAAAAAAATAGAAAAATAAAATAAAATAAAATCCAATCAATACTAACTCTTCCGATTATGTACTTATTGGATTTAAATAAATACAAAATTTAGGAGTTGAATTGATTCCTACGACTAAAATTTATTATTAATTTTAAAAATATATTTCGACTAGAATTATATTTAAATTAGACCGTAAATCTTAATTAATTAAGTATAAATTAATGTTTTATTTTTATTAAAATAAAACTTTAGAGTTGAATTGAGTCAGGTTCATTATTGAACCATAGTTGTTTAAGTTTAAAAAATCTATAACACGAATAATTAAGTTTTATTTAAAAAATGATCCAACTCAACCCAATCTATGAATATCCTTGTTCCATTTTATGGTCGAGATTTCGAAAAAATAGTCTCAACCAATATTTTGATTTTAATTTTAAAAATATATTTAAATAGAAATCTTTTCTAATTGTCCAAACGAGCTAGAAAGTTAACTTTAAATTAGATTTAAGATTTATTATAAAAACTATACATATATATATATATATATATATATATATATATATATATATATATATATATATATA